CAATTATGCTTTTGTTCTTTTGGTTATTGTAAATTGAGATTGCTAAAGATCAACGCGTCCGTTTACTGTAAGAACTGATGAAAGACTACATTTGATTTCTAATCAACATTTATCTTAAAGCTAAAGCAAACTAATTTTTTTTATCCCTATATTAGTTTCAATTTAATCCAACTTTCATTCATATGTTCATTTGAATTCTAATGAAATTTTGTCTCAAAACCAAACTAATTTAAACTCTTCTTTTCACTTTATTTAAAAAAATATAACGTTTTCATGTCTTTAAAATAAAAATCTTGTATATATTTGTTTAATCACTATGCTTCGTATGAATGCTTTCACCTTGGTACCCCTAGGCAGTAGTGTGGTCAAGGTGTAAGAAAATAAACGTCCGCTTTTGAATGTAAATTATCGAATAGACTGCCGTCTTTATAGTTTAGCTTTAGCGATCAGATGAAAACAGTTTTCTTAAACAACCCCTAATAGCTGACGACCTAATTTACTGTGTACATTGGTTTCATTTCAGAAGAGAAAAAGCTGAAATACTGTTAATGCTTAAGTGTAACATCGACGCTCAACGTGGTGCCCGCGAGATCAGATCTAATTTTATTATCATATAAACAATTTGGGCCATTGTGCGTTTGGGATTGAATCTCCTGCACGTTGTTTAGAAGTTTTCTGTTGCTAAAGGGAGTGAGTTCATATGAATGTAGTTGTTATAAGCGGTTTCTTTCTTTGTAATAAAAATACAAATACTTTCTTTATATAGAGAAATTTTTGGAATGATAAACCTACGCTAAAAAAATGTAGGTTACATTACAATAAAATAAATTGGCCCTATCAAGCGTTTGGTTGCGAACAAATCTTTGTCTAATTGATCGCGAATTGTTGTTGCATCCTAATCATCATAACGCATTCTGTAAGCAAGGGAGTACCTCTTTAAGATACTAAAAGTGTGGGCATACTTTGCACAAATCGTAGTTTCAAAAATATGCAAAACCGAATAGTGCCTGTCTTAATTGAAAAGAAGATATCACCAGAAATAACACCAGTAATTCTTCATTAATAGGGGCGTTTCAACAAGGACAAAAGGGAGTGGAGTCCGTTACACAGTTTCGTAATGGAAATTGTTCTACTTTAAGTCCGTAGTCGAATGTGTGAATGGAAGGGAATGTAGGCGAGGCATTAAAGAAGATCATGTTGGAGGGTAACCAAACTTAATCAAATGCTTACGTAGAACATTGCAATTGGTCATCTAAATCTAGTGCTTCACACAAACAAGATTTACAGGAAATTTTTATAAATCCTTCTGATCCAACCCCACGATATTCAATAGCGAACAGCGATTTGACTGAAATCTACAGGATATAATAAAGGGCTGAATGTCAAAGCATTTATATAGAAAGTAAAAGCTTTGACAAAACTTGAACTGCAGTTTTGAGCTATTAAGCGAGAACATCAGCAAGATTACTGCATAGACAATACAAGTCGAAAAGGATATTTGGGTCGAGAGTATTGCCAAAAAATAAATTGTGATAATGTGATAATGCTATATAAGTGCAAGTTAACTTAATAAACTTTCTTAAAAAGGCAACGAATGGAACCGTCAAAAGAATGTGAAAAATTAACGCCAATTTTATTTTATTGTATTACACTATATATTAGTTTTGTTTAAATTTATTAATATTAGCAAGTTATAAACATCTGTCAGCTGAATGCATTCAGGTGAAGTCAGGTGAGTTGCTTTCCATTTGAATTCTAATCAAAATTTATTTTCAAAGTAAACCAAACTAATTTTATTTATTCCTATGTTAATTTTAATTAAATCCAACTTTCATTCATATGAACATTTGAGTTCTAATCAAATTTTGTCATAAAACCAAAATAATTTAAAATTTTTCTATATTTAATTGGTATTCACGTATTAACGCCACCGCGGCAAAATTTCATTAAAAAACTAATAAAAAGAAACCTTTTGGACTTTAAAAAATTTTTTTGGCTTTTAAATATAATAATAATAGAAATAATAATATAATAAAATGATAATAATAACAATATTTTAATAACAAAATTTTGCCGCCGTGGTGTTAATACGTAAGTACCATTTAATTAAATATAACTTTTTTATTTCTTGTAAATAAAAATTTTACATATATTTGTTTAATCAATATGTTTTGGAATTCGTTGCATAAATGCTTTTCACTTGATACCCCTAGACAATAGTGTAGGTAACGCGTAGGAGAATGAACGTTCACTTTTTCATTTAAATTATCGAATAGTCTGTCCTTCATTAGCACACGCGAAATAAATTTTGCTTCAGCATTAGCAATTAGATGAAATTAGTTTTCTTGAACCACCCCCAAACAGCCGGTGAGTTAAGTCCAAATGAAATGCTGGTCTCGTTTCAAGATAAAAAGAAATTGATCTAACAGTAAGAGAATATGCTACAGATACCAACCCTACTGTGCGCCACGATTATGACCAAAAGAGGTTACGATAACACAAATAACAAAAAATCAAATCTGTTAATTAAGGTTGAATACAGGAGTTCGACTCATCCTTCAGACGGTACTAGTCTTTTGTAATAATAGTAACATCCCTACGTCACCCCGTTCACGTATTGCCTCTTGAGCAATAATCTCAATATAAACATCGCGATCGTACTTTGAGACGCGACTTAACGTTTGGTTTCACTATCAGAAGGAGAAAAGAGCTGTGTGCCATGGCGTTGCCAAGAGACCATTTCTATAATGATAATATAATCAAGCAAGTAAGAGTAAAAAAAAATTGCCTGTCTCCGGTGTACTTTACCGTCAGACGTCACAATTGCTCTATAAGAAAACCGAAAAACATGAAAGAAGCAGGTATTCGAAGCGGTAAAAAAACCAAAATTTAGGTTTTTAAAGCAATTAAAAAATTACTTCATTGCACTCGATTTCGGTATTGTTCACGTGGTCTAGGATTAAAAAAAAATTGTATAGACAAGTGGAAGAGTCCATCCCTTCTTTGGAGCATTGAGGCCACGCAGACGTTGTACAGAGTTTAAAGAAGTTTTGGCAACCAACTAACATTTTTAACACTATTACTTCGATTACTCAACCTTCTCATCTACTCCTCCTCTAACTGTTCATATATCGACTCGGTCTCCCACATGGTTCCACTTTCAAACGAACACATATACCATCTTTTCTCCCTCCTTCTTCAATCCTTCCTAGTCATATATAGCTCCGTGCCTGCTTGTCTGGGTAATTGTATAAAACGAAGGCTATTCGGAAAAAGACGATAACCAAAAAAGAGCAGCAATCAATTTAGCAATCAATATAAGCCCGACCAAGACAAAAATCATATACTTATCTTTTGATATAATAGAATCTTTGATAACAACAGAACTTCCAAAATGTTAGAAAAATAATGATTTTCGATGCTTTAACAGACCGGCCATTAAATATAGGCAAGTTATATAAACGTAAATTTCCTGATGGAAATGTAAGTCCAGCATTTAGAAGAATTAACATAAGCATCTAAACCAGAGTTCTAAACATTTATAAAATCTTTACGAAAAAAAATTGGCTCAGCACAAGAAGTTCAATCTTGGCCTTGAAGAAAAGAAATTGAGGTTTTTTAAAACCAAATAGTAATTTCGCCATATCAACGCTGGAATTAAAATGAAGAAGCCATTAAAACACTGAGGACGTTAAACAACAAAACACTGCGCAGCTCGTAGCCAATAGTCAATTGATTATTTCAAGCAAATGTAAGGTTGGTACATTTTTTTAGATTAAGGGAAATGACTTTAGTATCATCGTAACTGCTCAAAATAATTAAGTCAAACTGGAGACCTGTAAAATTTTCAATTCAGATTCTGTATTACAAAGGAAACACCGAAGTTACTTTGCGAAGAGATATTCGATATGTTAGCTTAAGGAGGTTGGTAGAAGTGGGAAAATAGTTTAAAAATTAAAGTTAGAAGGCAATCACAATCATGAAGAAGCAATTAATTTTTCAAAAAACTTTGATGTGATGGTGTGTTTGGCTCTTCATTTATAGTTATCAACTAGGTCTCTTGCCGTGTTTTTATAAAAACGTAATTATCTTTCCAAATAGATCGTTTAATTTATCATTTTACTAAGCAGCCTCTCCTTGCATAAAAAAGCTTTCAAGGAAATGATTTACTCTTTGATCTTATATGGATAGTTTGTAGTAAATTTACTATTTGTATATGATTACTCAAAAATTTTGTGAAATAATTTGAAATAACGTAGCTATTATACGATTTGCTGTTACCATAAGAGGTAGAAAACGAATAATCTTCCGTTCTTTAAATATTTACAAACTTATAGCATGTCTTAGGATGGTACACATTCTAAACAGTGGCACTTGAGTATCTTATAAAATCAAGCACACAAACAGGGCGTTTAAATCTTATAATAGTCTTGTTTTCTTTGCGAATTATTTTTAAACGTTTATTGGAGACAAGCAGACTTACGAGAATACACTAATTTTACGAAATTATCAGGCATGCCAATCAGCGATAACAGAAGAGTTGGTAGGAGCTTCTGGGATATATATGCAAAATGCTTGTGTCTATACTATTGTCGAACACGATATCAAAAATTCTTCATTTCCCAATTATTTGAATGTAGGATATGGCTAAGAGCCAAGTCAATTTCAACATCAAGGAAACGACTACGTTAGAGATTGGAAAGAGGTAGGTGCGTTCATTAACTAGTTTCCAAATGCCGCTGGGTAAGTTGAAGTACCTCAACCGTGTCACTGGGCCCTAAAAGATTGAAAGTAGCTTGCATGTGACACACAAGAGTCATGCAACAGTTAATAACAAATTGTGGCGCAAAATATGGGAGATGAAATATAAAGATATAAATGTTAATTTTCACTTTCCTACATTAAATATGTGTTAAACGGGTCTTTATAAACTATGATTTTCTTATTATTTGATGCCTGATACATACTTTTGCTCTGTTTTGCTTTTTTTATCATTACAGAAAACTTTAAGTCGCGATTGTCACTTTGTAGAGTCACTCGAACACGGTTATTTTTTATATGCTAATGCATACAATTCTTTGTGGCGAATAGGGTTCACTAAGGGCTTTAGGCCTGTAGGCCCTAGGCATTTGCAACGCGCTCAAACTTTGCAAAGGGCTTGTTTCCTGTTTGTGAAAATCGATGCTGAATTATTCGATCGCCGAATTTTTGCAACTACAACATCGAAGTCTACTAATACAACACCGATATCCAAAACAACTTCAATTTTTGTAAATCGAAGATTTTATGAAAATAGTATTAGTGGCAGCAACCTTAGGAATATAAATGATAAAAAAGGTACTGCTAATAACAATAAAATACCGGACCCTGAACTAAACTACCATCCTGCAGAAAAACTTCCAGTGTATGGTAAGAAACAAATCAAAAATCAAAACTATGTGGCAAAACGCAGAAAACAGAACACAAAACTTGCAATACCGCCAACCACCCCATTTGGTGGAATTATAAAGCCAAAAAACTTAGTGAAACATCATCATAGTAACAAAACATTTGTAAAAGGAAAAGATACGCAAACTTACTCAGGAAGAAGTCCAAAACTGCAATTACAAATCCACAGGCTAGATAATACAGCAAACATTACGAAACCTTCTTTGATGACAAATGCCACAAATTCCGCCTCGTCAGCCACTCTAACGTCGACTTTGACAACTACAGCTTCTCTTGCTCCTTCGGCTCTGAACATTTTTGCCATGTTAGCAGCTAGTAGACGAAAAAAAGGAAGAAGAAAAAAGGAAGTGGAAACACCAGAGGGGAGTTCTACCGACGGCACTAACATACAATTATGTGCTCAGTCACCTTTAAAAGTTCAGATAGGTTGTTACGATGAAATTTCCACAATAGAATACAAAACCCGAAAATTCTACCATAAACATCAACTGAGACATCATCACAATTATCTGTACCTTCAACAATATTTTCTGAATGAGAGAGGTAAAACTATAATTAACGGCGTATGGTGTACAAAAAATAGTCATGGAGAAAACCATGAATACTCACATAGATATTACTATATTCCCGATAAGTTAAATTACAATTTTTTGCATAACATAATATCTTCCTTACCAAAAAAGCATAAAGCGCGCCTTAGCAAATTCAATGATGGTAAAAGTGCTAAGGAAACCATGACTGAATATAATTTTAGTAATAAACGAAAGCTCGGCCACAGTAGCAATAAGAAAATTGATAACATCGTTAGAAAAAAAATTAGTAAAAGTAGTAATATTCACGTGCATATACTGGTTACCACAACGAAAAACGTTTCGCCAACCGTGAACAGTAAATTGCTGCAAACAATCGGTATAAATAGTGAGAATAATGAAATTAACAAAGCCGACTTCTCAATGCAACAAAATGACAATAATTTTTTACAAAAACGTAATTATCATCCTTACGATCAATTGCAAAAATACTACACTATTTATCTGAATCGGCCGACTCATAACTGTGAACATGCTAATAAATGCCTAAATAATATTGCGGCATATAGTCCAAAGTGCCATCACGTTAATAAAAATAACTTCAGAAACAACGTCGATGAACTATTTAGCGGAGGAAAACGCGACATTGTAAATTTTGATGACAGTAGTGTTAACAATAAAAAGTTTACAATTCATGATGCGAGTTACGTTGATAAGAGCGGCAATGACAATGGCAGCAATCGTTATAGTGGCGTTTCGAGAGCCCTTTCGAAGTCCGTCTATGTCTCACCTTTTTCTCGCATTTTAAATAAACAAACGTTTGCTTATGAACATTATGCTGATTACAATGAAAATAATAACATTTACGATCAATTTAAGTGGTTGCAAAATAAACGTGAAATGAATATAGTACAATACAGATATGTAGTTTATTTCCTTTGACTTTGTGTGGCGAACATAGAACCGAGGGTTAAGTATGCTCGTCTATAACTTTAAAATTGTAAAGTTTCTAAAAAAATTCGTGATGAAACTTATTCCATTTAAAAAACTTAGGTAAGTGAAAAACGTTCGGAACTTTGTCCCGCTTTGCGCCGCTGTTGTTTTGGCAATTCCACATAATCGATTTGCGTAAATTAGTCTACGGCTATTAAAGGGTTTACATTTTACTTCTTATTCCCTATTTTAACCTATCATAAAGACGGCTCAGACGCAAAGTTGCAGCTAAACTAACATTATTCTCCCTTCTACTTTATCAAAACGGCTCTTCTATGTCCATTCAGTCCAAACTCCGAAAAGCTATGGAGCTAAGGCGGTTGAGTATCCACTATATCTAATCAGCTTGTTCCTATGTATGGTCGGGGATTGAGCGACACTGTAGTATTTTTCTTCCGAATCTTTTATCTAACTAGTGCATCGCGCACATGCTTTGGCGACCGTCATAAGGCAAATATTTTACACCCCATTCATCATTCTTGCGAACAAGTGACATCAGTGTGATCGCGTTATACTCAAACCAATGTTATTTATTTACATACCATTGAGTGTTTGTAGAACAAGTGGGATTTGCGTTTGGAAGTCCAAGTCTTTAGTACAACATATAACAATAACAAGGTATTTTTATACATGTATGTTTAAATGTAAAAAATCGAAAATAGGAACGATTCCAACCTCCGTGTCGACACTTAGCGTAGTGTGACGTTAGTGCGCGACTATAAAATATTGAATTCAATTTATCGGTTGTCATGTCTGTTTGTGTAGTGAATCCATCATTTCAAATTTGCAAAAGAACTCCACTACAGAATCAGCAAAAAATCTGAGATGCGTTCCTCGCCTTTCACTAACCCACAAAAATTATAAGATGCTTCGATTGTAGTAGTCAAATGCAAGATTTTAGTGCATACGGCTAGAAACAATTGTTAAGCCCAGTTGCAATCCCAGCCCAGTTTAAATCCACCAAAAAGTCAATTTAAGTGTTGGAACATTGAAGAAAATTTAGTGAGTACATTCTGTCCAACCACTGCACACACACGCAATTGATGAGCAGAGGCCAACTCATTTCCTTTATTTTACGAAAACTGGATGATTTTTTGAAATTAGCAGCATCCAAAAATGTATCTATTAGATGCTGCCATTGTTCTATCAGAAACACTCTCCAATAAAAGGCACCACTATACACCGAAATAATTCCGAACTGTCATAAATTCGCAAGCTAATTAAAAGTAAATCATTGGTGGACAGCAACACATTTATCAACAATCTCACATATCATTCGAGATTCGTAAAGACGGACGTTCCTCACGGAAATGCTTTTAAAATATGCAGACATTTGTAAAGTATCAAGTAATTTAAAAAGCATCAAAATAAAAGTCCACCAATGTACGCTAAATGTCGTTTGGATAGTAGAAAACGAAGGGCAAACTATAAGAATAACTTCACACATCTGTGAATTTTTCATTTAAGTATTAACAATGACTCTAAATTTAAAAAAAAAGAAGAATCTGACAAAACTTGTTTACAACCAACAACACAAGACAAAACTTCAACCACTTATAAAAAAAACAAAAACCGGACGTCATATAAAATAGCAAAAATCAAGAAAACGCAAAATGGCATAGAAATAAAAAATGAGAAAATAGGGTTTAAAATTAAAGTGACGATATGATGCCGTGGCAACTGCTCCTTATTCCGTATTTTTGGATTTTTCTGTTCTTCTAAGTTAATTAGTGTGATTCGCTCTTGGATGTACACAAATTTTAATCTAAGAAAATTGTACTGATTTACAGGAAGAAATACGCGTAATAGCTACATGTATTGAACGTTTTCGCAAAGCAGTCTATTACTTAAGTATAAGCGGAGAAGAACAATTCACGCTCAGTTATATTGTTTTAACGTTTTTTTGTTTTTTTCCTGCCGAGGCAACAACAATAAATTATTGATGAAAATAACATACTAATCATAAATAATAAAGTTGTCGTATATAGGAATAGCTGATTAAAAATAAATAAATTACTAAGTCACAAACCGAAAAAAAGCGTATACAATTTTCATTTAAAGCATTTTTCCTCTGATAAGATTCAATGACAGTAAAGATTTCACTAAAGTAAAGCCTTCAGAACACAATTCCTTCAGTTTTGTGTAAAGTAGTAACAAAAATGAAGAAATCTTTTTGTGTACAGTTACTCTGACTACAGTCGCTATTTCCTCGTTTGTTTTTGCTGCATTTAGTTGTGGCGGCATCTTAGACGATGCGAGGAATAATTAAATAAAAACCGTTTTGTTTTTGTATACCTGTAGAAATTCAGCTGGAGTTGCAACATTTGCTACCTTATGGCGATGGCAATCAAGTCGAACTTGCATGTGTCAAACAATTCGGGAATTTGGCCGTTGTCTAAAACATAAGACCACGCTCGTTGTGTTGGGCTTTGTTATGTTCTTTGGTGACCTGAGTTAGTATATTTTGCCTACGGGCGGCATTGCCAGAAAATCATCCTCAACTATAAGGATATTACCACAAATAAGCATTTTGGTGTGAGGTATTCAATAATACAGAACGAATCACAATTATAACGAATGCTCCGTATTTTTATACCCATTAAAGAAGGAAGGGGGTATATTCATAGTGTCAAAGCCTTTTCAACGCCAAGAATGAAACTTTGAAAACAGCATATAGTATATATAATCTTGACCAGCATGAACTCTGAACCTATTTAAGCATGTCCCTCTGTCCGTCTGCGTAACATCTGTAGTAAACGTTCTCCTGACCGCAAAAGTGAAGTTATCAACTTCAAATTTTGAAAAAACATTGGAAGGTACCCCATGTCTATTGATAATAAGAATGGGCTAAACCGGTCTAAGAACACCGGCCTACAGTACCCTTTGAACTGAGAATATTTCTGCTTTTCAAGAGAATTACAAAAAGAATTTTTTCTTTCTTCTCATAAACTACAGCAGAGAAATTTATAAAAATTTGAACGTATATTTTACGGGCGATGCTGTAGTACCTATAGAAAAATTGAAAAACTTGATTGCGCCTGTCCAATATGTTAGTATATCAAAATTTAGTTATATTTTTAAAACTTTCGGAAGCTTCGAGAACCCCATAGATTAGATAAATTCTTGGCTGGAATGAAATTTGGAATACAAGTAATCATTTCCTTCTGTCCGTCTGCCAATCTATAAGGTACGCCTACAAATTTGTAAAACAATTTAGAAATGACACAAACTTTTCAAAAGGCACGCCTACTGAGCCCACTAGCCTATGCGCCAAAAATCTCTATTTTGAAGACAAAAAATCAGCCGCCCCCATTGCATATTATAGAACATGAAAATTTAGTTTTTTTATTACATTTGTTTTAAGTTAACGCTGACGGGTATAAAAGATTCAGTCACGACCGAATATAATTTTCTTATCTGTTTTCTTGTGTTTTATTTAGCATTCTTTTGGTTACCCTATTTGCGCTATGTTTTTTCTTTTTTTATTAAATAATGATCAAAAAACTCGGCAAGAACAGATTTGGACAGATGTCGCGCTAACTATTGCCGTTTTCGAAGTTTTTAAATATTATACGGAAATTCATCCATAATTGTCTTCAAAATTTAACTGAGCATATTAAAAGCGTGTTTACTTTCATTTTTTCCAACGTGCTGTAGATTTTATTAATCTTCAGATTTAAATAAACCCCTCTTTTTGTTTTAAACTTTTCACTGAATTTAGGTATTATTAGCATAACGACGAAAGGTTACGTGTTAATCTGCACATAGAGCTGTCTTGAAGTGAACTTAGGTAAGCGGTGCTCCAAAGAGCTCCACGATCCTTATGTCACAAATGGACTACGATTGATCTCAATGAAATCAATACTTGAATACTCCTTTGTTATGCGGCCTCCTTCCTATAACTGCTGTGTAGATTTGGAATAATTACTCGTCTTCACCCTTACGAATTTGATTCACACTTGGCCTATCCTTTTTGTAAATGTTAACAAATGATACTATTGACTTGCCGATATTGCTTGGTGAGATAAAGTTCAATGTTCCTAAGCGCTACTCCATGAAATTTATTTTCATAAAACTTAACCAGTGTATATATAGTTTCGAGCTTTTCAACCTGATTAGAGTACTTTTTAAAAGTCTAAATATCTATAAATAAGTCTCAATATTGCATTGTTTAAATTCTATTAAACCATCTCTCCTCAATACGGTTGCTCTCCCTATGACGTATCTAAATTTACTTCCAAGCAAGTTCGTATGATTCGAAAATCGAATTTAATTTGTTCACTATTATCGGTTGCCAACCCTTTCCTTGTGTACAAAGGCGGATGTACTTTGTGTTAGATTTGGACACGCTTTTTATTTTTTTCTTGTTTATTTATACATAGACATTGTTTTTTTGTTCTATTTTTTCCCCGCATTTTTCTTTATGCAAGTTAACACAATCTGAATTAACAAACCAAGCTGGACAAAGAAAACAGGAAGTTAGATATGAAAAACGGCAACTTCGCACATTTCCGAACAAGGCACCAAGGAAGCAATATCTGCGGTGAACTATGTAGAAGAACGTCAAACCACCGCAGAAATTAGATACACGTAAGTAAAGTAGGATAAGTTTTTACTTGTAGTTGTTATTTTGACTTAATAAAGTTCGGTCACATTGGCCAAGCAAATAAAAAAAATTTTTTTTAAAGAAATTTTCGTAAAGGAAGATTTAGCTTACATAATACTTTGTAAATTTATTAATAATACTTAGCATTAGGCCAATTACATTTCCAAGAGTCAATTGAATTTAGCTGATAATTTATTTTAGTTGAATTTCAAGCGTAAATATATTGTTACGGAAATCCCAAATCTAGTTGATTCCAGCTATGGCATTTTCTAAAATAATACATTCCTTAAAGAGAAAAGAATTCGAATGTACATTTGCGAGGCGTGATGCGGCTGTAGACCAATGAAAGCGATTAGCGGAAAAGCAGACAGGTAAAAATAAAATGCATATCCGCAGGCGCGTTATGCAGCTGATGGCCGATGAAAACGGTTACCAACAAAAGCAGGTTAACGAATTAAGAATCAAGTCATAAAATTAGGCACTAGTAATATGATGGCAAAAATGTATATAAATAGAATATTTGTGAAGGACAGTAGAGTAGAAAAAGAATATTTGAGTTAAGCAATCGAAAGTATTGCCAAAAGCAATTTGTAAATACTCCCACATTTAAAGAAATATAATTGTAAATAAAAGAACTTTGAAGTGTATTTCTTTTGAATAAAATATACGCGATCCAGTTATACGGAATTCTTATAAAAGCGAATTTCATAACAATATAAATAAATTTGGACAGGTGGTTTTACAGAGTGTGTTTCCCTTAAAAATGTTTTAAGTTATCAGCAGTAGTTTTTGGGTACCCCTTTTATGAATTAACGTCTGCGTCCTTTCTTTAAAGCGCTGTATCTATGGTTGCAGGTTTTAAATTTTTTGCTTTTCAGCTTGGTTTTCGCAATCAGAAACCGCGCGTTAATACTGAGACCATTAGCAGCTCGATTAGCAGCTACTATTTATCAACCTTTCAATTCGGTGGCTCGAGAAAATAGCGAGAGGATTAATAGAAACCAAATGTTTTTGGTGTCTTTGAAGTATGATCAAATAATTGTATAAAACTTTCGTTCCTTTCCTTTCGTTTTTGAAAGTATGTAGGAAATGTTTTCTTTTTTTTTTGAAAGAAGAAAAAAACGAATTTTTGGGAGAGAGCCTGTTTTAAGTGTTGGATTTACATGTCAATTTTTCTGAAAATAAACGGAATCAATTATTTTTCTTTTGTGAAGAAAAACGGCTCTGAGTTTAAACAAAAAATTTGTTCAAAAATTCTGGCATAGAAATGGGAAGTCTTTAGGAAATTTAACAAAATATTTCTCGATAAATCCCGATCTGGCGAAAGCAAAATAAACGAATAATTTCTAAATAAGTGAAAAACTAATTTGATACAGAAAGAGGCTTGTTAAAGTCAAGATTCTATAAGAAAATTGGTTAAGGGACTAGGAGAAGAAGAAACAGAAGAAAGTTGACGAAAACAGAAAAAGGAAGCTGTGACAAAAGTGAATTATATTCAGAAAAATACTGAATTATTTGAAAAAGTGAAACATTGCAGCTTGGGAAAAGAAACAACGTTACACCACAGACTCCCACTCTATTCCACCTCATAATTTGACTGTTTATCATCTCCCAGTCTACAAAACTCAATTCGCAAAGTATGATGTGGCGACAAAGTTCTCGCATCTCTCTCGAAAGTGGGAACACTTAAAAAACCCCAGGGCCAGAGCTATGCCAACATCAGCAATATTCTTTCTGTGGAAACTAGCACCGTTCGTTTAAAATGGGTGCGAAAATTATAATCATAGTCAAGAAAGCTTTGACTGGTTTCCCAACGCAAACGCAACATCGATGCGTTCGTCAAATAAATGCTACTGACTGTCAGAATCTAAGGCC